TCCTCCACGAAGGCCCGAAAAGGGCAGTTCATTGATTATCCCGGATTTTCCCGTCCCATCCTGGCCCAGCCGTCGACCGCAGAAGCACTTCCAATGGGGCAGGGGGGCTAAGATGGCCTGCGACACGGCAAAGAGGGCCCCGAGAGGCCTCCAAGACGGCCCAGGATGCACCCAGCGCGCAGTCTGATAGCTTGGCCAATCTGGGGTCCAACGTTTTGCTGCAGAGACGTCTCCCCAGAGGCTCCCATGAGGTCACCTCGCGTTCCTCCTCCTCTTCGGTGTTCCCCGAAGATTGTCGAAAAGAGTTCGGAGAACGTATGGTCCGATTTCCCAGCCAAACTCAAACCCAACTCCCGACCGCATCGGCGTTTATAGGAAGCAGGAAAATCTATTTTCAGCTGTCTGCCGAGCATTGCGCTCGGCGTCAAGTCCACATGAAATCGCGGCGCGCTGACGGGGCACCTCGCGATGGCTTGCGAGCCTGGGCATGGCCCGGGCGAGCCCGGGCATGGCCCTGGCGCATCTCCTCTTGTTGTGGGAATTGGCGTACTCTGGACGGCCCCAATCCCGTCATTGGACACGGGCTTCATGGGCCTGCTCCTCGTCTCGCGCGTGCACGCATACTCATGTGTTCCTATGTTCTCTCTTTGTTGTCTCTTTTTCTTGACACTTCTCGCGTAATTCCCAAAAAGGCTTCTCCGCCCTCGAATGGGGGGGGGGGGGTCCAGGGCTCTTCCTCTGCTTCTTACCGCATTTCGTGCAACGTGGCAATCGGCACGTGGGGCACGTGTCGAATCTGTGTTCACCATCTTCCCTGTGGCCGAAAAACTGGCCTCCATTTCTTTCTTGCAGATCCTGCGCGTCTGCTTTCGGTCCTTTGCGCTCTTCCCGCAGCTCTCGCACTGCGCGCGGTAACGCCCTCGCGAGCGCTGCTCGCAATCATGCAAAGAGTAGCTGCTTGTCACACCCTGCGCAATGCATCGTCTCTGCGTTCTTCCTGTCCTCCTCCGCCTTCTCGCAGCTCTTGCACTGCGCGGTGCGGCGCCCTCGCGAGCGTTGCTCGAAATCATGCAAGGGCAACTGATTGTCACACCCTGCGCAATGCATCGTCTCTGGCTTCTTGTCCGCCGTCCCCTGTCGATCCATCGCAGGGGTCCCTGTCGTGCCATCGCAGGGGTTTTGGTTTTGGCTCTTTTTCCAAAAGAACTCACCCTGGGGCTTCGGCCCGTCCCGCCGGCCACCTGGAAAAGGACCCCAATTGCACGATTTTTACTCCAAGACGGCTCAAGATGGCCTCCATGATGGCCACGTTGGCCCAAGATGGCCTCCAAGTCCGCTCAAGATGGTCCAAGACGGCCTCAAAGACGACCCAAGAGAGCCCAAGACAGCCCAAAACGGCCCAAGAGGCCCCCCAGAGGCATCCAAGACGGCCCAATAGGCCTCCAAGAGGTCCTCCAGGAGGGCCCGAAGATGCCCAAATCATTGATTGTCCTTAGGTTTTCGAAGGATGTTGGCATTCGCTTCCTCTCGGCTTTCCGACGACCCAAGACGGCCCAAGAGGCCCCCAAGATCGCCCCCACAGTGCCCAAGAGGCGTCCAAGATGGCCTCAGGACTGCCCAAGAGGCCCCCAAGACTGCCCCAAGAGGGCACAAAGACGACCCAAGCGGCCTCCAAGACGCCCAAGATGGCCTCTAAGACGGCCCTGGAGCACCCCAAAAGGGTCCCAAGTCGGCCCAGTAAGGCCCCCCAAATGGCTTCCGACGGCGTCAGACGGGCCAGGAGCCCACCAAGATGGCCGAAGTTGGCTCGAAGCTGGCCCAAGAGGCCTCCAAGACGGCCTCCAGAAGGCCAGAACCAGCACACAATACTGATGTTCCCTAGGGGGTTGAAGGAATGTGGCATGTGCTTCTTTTCGGCCTTCCGAAGGCCCGATACGGCCCACGAGCCCCCAAAGATCGCCCAAAGATCGCCCAACATGCCTCCAAAATGGCCCCAGAACGGCCCAAGAGGCCCCCAAGACGGCACCAAGAGGCCCCCAAAACGGCCCAAGAGGCTTCTAAGACGCCCAAGATGGCCTCCAAGACGGCCCTGGAACATTCCAAGAGGGCCCCAAGTCGGCTCAGAGAGGCCCCCCAAACGGCTTCCGACGGCGTCGGACGGGCCAGGGGCCCACCAAGACGGCCGAAGATGGCACTAAGATGGCCCAAGACGGCCCAAGAGGCCTCCAAGAGGGCCTCTCCAGGAAGGCCCGAAAAGGCCCAACCCATTGATTTTCCATTAGTTCCCCACATCCTGAGTGGGGTTCTTGTTTTCCCAGAACACCCGTTCCTTCCCACCCACCTCCCGCTCCATCTTCCATACAGCACAATATTATTCCTACCACACACACTGTACCATACCATAGTTCCTACCACACATACCATACCATACCATACCATACCATACCATACCATACCATACCACACCATACGTACCATACCGTACCATACCATACCATGGCATACCATAGCATACCATACCATATCACACCAATGCCACACCGTACCATACCATACCATACCTCCAGTACCATACCATACCATATCATACCATACCGTACCATACCATACCTACCATACCATTCCATACCACTCCATACCGAAAACCATACTACTTACATGGTTTCGTGCCCCTCCCACCCCTCCAGGGAGGCCCCGCCTGAGCGAGGAGGGTATCGGAATACCATACTATTTACATGGTTTCGTGCCCCTCCCACCCCTCCAGGGAGGCCCCGCCTGAGCGAGGAGGGTATCGGAAAACCATACTATTTACATGGTTTCGTGCCCCTCCCACCCCTCCAGGGAGGCCCCGCCTGAGCGAGGAGGGTATCGGAATACCATACTATTTACATGGTTTCGTGCCCCTCCCACCCCTCCAGGGAGGCCCCGCCTGAGCGAGGAGGGTATCGGAATACCATACTATTTACATGGTTTCGTGCCCCTCCCACCCCTCCAGGGAGGCCCCGCCTGAGCGAGGAGGGTATCGGAATACCATACTATTTACATGGTTTCGTGCCCCTCCCACCCCTCCAGGGAGGCCCCGCCTGAGCGAGGAGGGTATCGGAAAACCATACTATTTACATGGTTTCGTGCCCCTCCCACCCCTCCAGGGAGGCCCCGCCTGAGCGAGGAGGGTATCGGAATACCATACTATTTACATGGTTTCGTGCCCCTCCCACCCCTCCAGGGAGGCCCCGCCTGAGCGAGGAGGGTATCGGAATACCATACTATTTACATGGTTTCGTGCCCCTCCCACCCTCCAGGGAGGCCCCGCCTGAGCGAGGAGGGTATCGGAAACCATACTATTTACATGGTTTCGTGCCCCTCCCACCCCTCCAGGGAGGCCCCGCCTGAGCGAGGAGGGTATCCGAAAACCATACTATTTACATGGTTCCGTGCCCCTCCCACCCCTCCAGGGAGCTGGCGGGGCCTCCGGCGCCGCCTTCTGGCGCGCTCCGCGCACCAGCCGACAGCACTGGAAGGTGAAGCCATTGACCACACACGTGCTTCCCCAACCACCCCGTGGGCTTGGGTCCTCGTGTGGATGAAGGGGCCCAAGGCCACACACACACACACACAAATGCACACAAATATACAAAAGGATTCCCGAGCTTTTCCCGTATTTCCTGGGTGTTTATGTCTTCCCCCCCACTTCCCATATTTTCCCATCTGTTCCTGGGAGTCGATGATGAATTGTGTCTGTGTGTTCTTTCCCCTCCTGAGTTGAAGAAGACACAGCGGCCGGCGTCCCACGGCACGTCCCCGATCTGGCACACACCCCCCTCGCACGCCTCGCCGCCCCATGGGGGAGCGCCGCCGCAGGCCCCCTGTGAGAGGGTCCGCGGCTCCCCGCCCACCGCACGTCAATGTCGGCGCACCGCCCACACTCGGCCACGCGCAGAGGGGGGTGGGGGGAGCGGGGAGGGCTTCTTAGAAGCGCCCCTGCTTTTTAGAAGCCGCGGGCCTTTTCTATAGATGTAAGGCCGGCGCCTTCTAAGAAGCAGCCTCCTTCTAAGAAGCCCTCCCCCCTCCCTCCATCCCCTTGTGCGCACCGCCAACACACGCTTCGTGGTCCCATGGGGTGGACCAGGGCCCACCCCACCTGCGGCCCCAGGGGGCTTAGCGCATACCAGGAAACCAGGCGCGGGCTCTGCGTGGTTTGCGCGACGGCGCCCGATGGGCCGCGGCGCAGCATGGAGGGCCGCAGGTGGGATGGTGACGTGAGCTTGGGGGGGCCGACAGGGAGCTCCACGGAGGGCCCCACTCGCCATCGCTCGGACGTCCATTCCCTGTGTTTTTTTCAGTTTCGTGCGTGGATTTCTCGCCAAATGATCAAGGATGCTCCTCGATGGTCCGCCGAGAAAAAAATGCACACGTCCGAGCGATGCCAGGCCCAATGGCAGGGTCCCGTAGCCACCATCCTCAAGCAGCGACGCGCGCACCTCCAGTGTAGCTGCACTCCCGCGGCGGCCGCTCCCACGGCGGGCAGGCACGCCGACCGGGCCGGCTTGAGCAATGGGGGGGGCTTCGCTCGCTTAGTGAGTGGCTTGAGCCCAAAGGGCTACGGACCCTTTTCTCATCCTCCTCCTCCTCCTCCTCCTCCTCCTCTTTATCCTCCCCCTCCTCAGCCTCCTGCTTATCCGCCACTTCACCCTGATTGCGCATCACACGATGAGGTCATATTTTCCGTCCAGGCCCGCGAGGACAACCGTCGGCGAACGGGGGGAAACAGCAGCGCAGTGGGAAGGGATGCGTGGGAGGCCCCTATCCCCCAGGGTGCGTTCTGACCAGAACTTCGGGGCGAATCCAGCGGTGGCGACGGGAGCCTACCAGGAGGCCCCTCCAGAGCGACAAATGAGGCGAGGTCAGCAGCGGTGTCATCACCTACTTCTTCTCTGACATCTTTCAGCGGCGTCGACGTCGAGGACGACGGTCGACAGACGTCGGCGGCGGGGGCGCGCCTGCTGCGTGTCGGGATCCTGCGCCCCCCGCAGGCCCGCGGCGTCCGGCCCGGAGGGCCCGCGCCCCTCCAGGAAGGCCCGCAGGCCAGCCTCGCGGCGGGGGAGGCGAGGGTCCCGCAGGGAGACCGGCCCATGCTGTCGAGTTCTTCACTCTCTTGCACAGCTGCGCTCCAGAGCTCGGAGCCCTTCGTTCTCTTGCACAGCCGTGCTCTGGAGCTCGGAGCGCTCCGTTCTCTTGCACAGCTGTGCCCTAGAGCTCGGAGCCCTGTGCTCTCGTCGTGGTTGCCGTCGTTCGTCCCTGGCCCTCGCCCCAGACGCTCCTCTGGCTCCTGGCCCCGTCCCCAGCTCCGCCCTGGCCGCCCCAACCGACCTCAGTCCCTCTCCTGCCCCTGGTCTCTAGGTGCCAGCCCCCCCTGGCCCCGGACCTATACAACTGTTCTCGTCGTGCTCGTCGCCAGCCTCCCCCTGGCCCCTGGCCCCAGCCCTCCTCTGATATTCGCCTCAGACCCTCTTCTGGCCCTGGCTCAGGTCCCTGCCTCCCTGGCCCAGGACCTCCGTATTTTCGTCGTCGTTCGTTCCTGGCCCTGGCCCCAGTCCCCCCCGGCCCTGGTTCCAGCCCTCCTTCTGGCCCTGATCCCAGCCCCCGTGGCCATGGTCTCGGCCCTCCTCTGGCCCTCGGCCCAGGCCCTCCTCGGGTCCTGGTCGAGGTCCCACTCTCCTGGCCACGGACCTCTTTACTTTCGTCGTTGCTCGTCTCTGGCCTTGTCCCTGGCCTCCCCCCTGGCCCTGAACTAGGTCCCAGCACCCTGGCACCAGAGCTCTTTCTTTTCGTCGTGGTCGCCGTCGTTCGTCCCTGGCCCTGGCCCCTGGTCCCTCTCTGGCCCTGGTCCCAACTTTCCATGTGGCCATGGTCCCGGCCCCCCTCTGGCCCTCGCCCCGGACCCCCGACTGGCCCTGGTCGAGTAAGTCCCGGCCTCCTGACCAAGGACCTCCTTACTTTCGTCGTGCTCGTTGTCGTTCGTCCCTGGCCCTGGCCCTGTGTGTGCCTTGGCCCCTGGCCCTGGTCCCCATATCATTGTGTTCGTCGTCGTCGTGGTCGTCGTCGATCGTCCCTGGCTCTGGCCCTGGTCCTAGCCTTCCTGTGGCCCTCCTCTGGCCCTCGCCCCAGAGCCTCCCTCACTCTGGTCTAGGTCCCAGCTCCCCTGGCTGCGAACACCTCTATTCTCCTGCGCAACTGTGCTCTAGAGCTCAAAGCCCGCCATTTTCGTCGTCGTTCGTTCGCTCGTCGCTTCCCTGGCCCCCGTGCCCCTACCCTCTCGCGATGGCCAGGATGGCCCCAAGAGAACGCCAGGATGCCCCCGAGAAAGCCCCCCCTTCCGCACCCCGCCTCGCCTGGCCCGCGCCCTCCCTCGTGCAAGAGCCAGGGTATGTGTGCCACGTGTTTTCGTCGTCGTCGTCGTCGTCGTCGTCGTCGTCGTCGTCGTCCGCCTCGTCGACCATCCAGACCTTCCTGACCCCAGGCCCCGCATACTGGCCCCGAAAGGCCCGAAGAACCACCGAGATAGCCCCAGCATGGCTCCAAGTGCTCCCCCTCCTCGTCGCCCTCCCAGTGCAAGAGCCAGGGCATGCGTGCCACGTGTTGTCGTCGCCCTTCGTCTGTTCGCTCGTCGCCCCGCCCCGGCCCCCCCCCCCTGCCCCCGCCTCACGCGATGGTCGTGATGCCTCCCTTGCCATCGCTCAAACGTCCACTCCCCGTGCATTCGCTTTTTTTCTTTCTTCTTTTCCAAGTGATCCAGGATAAAAATGCACACGCCCGAGCGATGCCCAGCCCACTGGCTATCGCTCGGACGTCCATTCCCTGTGTTTTTTTTTCGGTTTCGTGCGTGTTTTTTTCGCTGAGTAACCGAGGATGCTCCTCGATGGTCCTCGCCAAAAGAAAAATGCACACGTCCGAGCGATGCCCAGCGCAAGGAGAACACCAAGACGGCCCCAAGAACGGCCCCCCCTCCCCACCCCGCCTCGCCCGCTCCCCTCCCCCGTGCGGGAGCCAGGGCCCGCGCGTGCCGCCTGCCAGCGCAACCGGATCCGCCACCGTGCCGCTGGGCACGGAGGAGGCGTGCCCCTAGATGGCCCCCCCTCCGAGGAGGAGGAGGAGGAGGAGGAGGAGGAGGAGGAGGAGGAGGAGAGGGAGGAGGAAGAGGAGGAGGAGGAGGAGGACCCAAGCCCCGGGGCCGCCAAGCAGCCGCGGTCGCGGGAGGCGACTCGGAGGACGAGTCGGGCTGCGAGTGCAGCGATGGGGGCTGAGGGGGATCGGTCGCTGTTTTTGGGGGATCTCAAGGGGTACCGACGCCGCTACTCCCCAGACCTCTCCTGGGGTGCGGTCTGACCTGGATTTCCAGGCGAATCCAGCGGTGGCGACGAGGGAGCCTTCCCAGTTGCCTGCAATAGCTGAAGACAGGATAGCCTTCCACCCATGGCGCGCACACCAAGAGGTCGCCTCACGAATAGCCGCATCGCTCACGATGTGATGTTCCTGAAGGCAGACCACGTGCGACTCCGTCCTGCTGAGCCATCCCTTGAGCGAATTCCAGCAGGTCGCGTTGCATGAAAACGAAGGAAGGGTAGCGGTATGGGTACCTCTTCCTCCCCCGAGTGGGATCGGCCGCTCTTTTTATGGGGATATCCAGACGTACCGATACCGCCACTCCCTAGACCTCTCATGGGGTGCGTTCTGACCTTCTAGGAGGCCTTCCAGGAGGCCCCACAAGGGGAAAACGAGGGGGGGAGGGAAGGGAGGGAGGGAAGGAAGGGAGACGAAGAGGAGGAGGAAGGAGGCAGAGGACCTGAGGCTCGAGAGGGCCGCAGCGGCTATAAAAAACAGGGCGCCTCGAGGACAGAGCAGCGCTAAACGCTGTGGAACCGTCCCAGGGTGCCCCGCCTCGCGGTCTGCCGACCCGCCTCGAGGTGTCCTGGGTACCTCTTCCTCCCCCGAGTTCTTCCTGTCTTTTCTCTTCCGGGGCCTCGGGCCGCCGGCACCGCCGGCCACCGCCACGCCTCCCTCCCGAGGGCAGGGCTGAACCTCAACGGTGCTCTTAGTGTTCGTTCTGTCTTCGTTTTCCCTCGTCTTCGTGTTAGTTCTGGCTTCGACGGTGCCTTCGTGTCAATTCTGGCTTCGATCCGCCTTTACCGCAAAACGAGATCGAAACGAACACGGCCCACGAGATCGCCACAACACACCGCTTGGGTCCAAGCCCGGCCTCCCGAGCGGTCTGTTTTCGTTCTCCCTCGTTTGGGCTTCGATCCGCCTCTGCCGCAGAACGACATCGAAACGAACGCGGCCCACGACATCGCCACAACACACCGCTTGGGTCCAAGCCCTGCCTCCCGAGCGGCCTGGTTTCGTTCTCCCTCGTCTTGGCTTCGATCCGCTCTTATACCGCAGAACGAGATCGAAACGACCACGGCCCACGAAAGCGCCAAAGCACCGTTCTCGCTCTGTCTTCGTTTTCCCTCGTCTTGGCCTCGAGCCGCCCTTATACCGCAGAACGACATCGAAACGACCACGGCCCACGACATCGCCACAAAACACACCGCTTCAGGTCCAAGCTCCGCCTCCCGAGGAGGGGGCCCGGGCCCCAAAGACGCTCCAGCCTCCCAGGGCCTGGGCGCGTGCCCCTCGGGGGAAGCCCACCGCGGGCCTCCCCCTGGGGCTCCCCCGGCAGCTCGTCGCGCGGCCTCCTGCGGGCCCGAAGGGGGCCCCCCACACTTTGGATGCCCGAAATGGGTACGGAAAGAATGGGTACAATGCCCAACAGCAACTGTTGTCCCAAACCAACAGCGGCCGCTGTTGGGCGGGCGGCCTCCTGTCTCGGCTGGATGGACACAGGCCGCGGCGGCGCGGACAGCGAGTCCTGTTCAGAATGGACAAGAACTGCTGTTAGGCATTGTACCCATTCTTTCCGTACCCATTTCGGGCGTCCAGACACACGGGCCAAGAGGGCTCCGGGACCCGGGAGGCCCCTTAGACGGTCCAAGAGGGCCCCGAGCTGCCGAGAGGTCGCTCCAAGACGCCCAAGATGGCCTCCAGATGGCCCAGGACGCCTCGAAGAAGGCCCAGAGAGGCCTTCCAAAGAGGGCCCCCAAGAGGCGCAAATCGTTGATGGTCCGTAGGCTTTTGAAGGACTTTCGCGTTCTCGCCTTCTGTTTTTCCGACGCTCCAAGACGGCCGGCCCAAGAGGGCCCCAAGACCACCCCAAGACGGCCCAAGGGGTCCCCATGATGGCCCCAAGACGGCCTAAGAGCGCCCCAAGACGGCCCACAAATCACCCAAGACGGCCCTCTCGGGCCCCAAGACGGCCCGAAAACGGGCCCAAAGAGGGAACACGAACCGAAGCTCTGAGCCTTCCGCCCCAGAACGTCCCCAGGAGACCCCAAGAGTCGCCCGAGAGGCCCCAAGAGGCCTCAATTGGCCTACAAGAGGCCCCAGGCGGCCCCCGAACGGCTTCCCAAAACTCTTCAAACAGCCTCCAAGAGGCCCCCGAGAAGCCTCCCTACGAGATCCTAGCGAAAACTCCATCGGCTTCATACCCTCAGCCCAGGCACGGTGGCGGGATGGGCCGAGGGCCATTCGATACTTGGCGACCGCGCCGCCTCAACATGCCCTGGACGCGAAGCATTGGAACTGGTGATGTTTGTTGTGGCGACGGTGCCTGTGGTGAACCACTGAGTGCCCTCGGTGCGCCATCGAGAGTTGGCAAGGGGCTGGCATAAGAATCACTCGCCGGCGAGAAAACCTACTCCTCGCATTGCTTCATTTGGTGGTGGCGTTGTAAACAGCTGCCCCGCAAAACAAACTAAGCGACAAACAAGAGACACGTATCACAGATCCTCGACGATCTGTTTCCCAAGCATGCTCGCGCCGTGACAAAAAGTGCACGACGGGAAGTGTTTGGTAATTTTCGGCGTCCTGGGGCCTCTCGCCAGGCCTCGGGACCGTCCAGACCACCTCGGGATGACGCAGCCGGCCCTGGTGGAGGGGTCAGGACTGCTTGGGACCGCGTGTTCCAACACAAATCGAGATCTCGCATGCC